AGGCGGAAGGATTGATCACTATGACACTCACTGACTACCAGGGGGCAGATGCTCAACGCAGGCGCTGCCCCCTGGTGGTCAGTGTGTCCCACAGGGGGTGCGCGGCTGAGCCAGGAGCCAAGCTCAAGGCTGGTGGTGGTGGGAGCCTCTCTGCCTCTCTCGCCTCTGATGCAGTGCTAAGGACTCCTCAGGGGATGTCTGACTGCGAGAGGGCACAGGCTAGGTTACTGCTGGTGGTGGGAGCCTCTCTCGCCTCTGATGCAGCGCTAAGGACCCCTCGGGGGATGTCCGACTGCGAGAGGGCACAGGCTAGGTTGAGGGACCGCCCGCCCCCTGCCCCCCACCCCCCCGCTAAGTGCATGAATGTTGTGCACCAGGCTTCTAGTAATAAATAAAGGTATAAGTTACAATTTTGTGATTAACTGATGGTTGAAATTTGATTCAATCATTCATTCACTTAATATTATGCCTATATATAAGAATATGCTGTGAATACAAAGATAATGATAAGTAGAACTTGACATAATGTAAATTATAATTAATAGGAAAAAGACAAGAGTAATAAAAATAATATTGCTGGAAAATGTTATAAGTGATATATACAGAGACAGTGACAGCAAACTAATCTAATTGTTCATGTTTTATTTTCTATATTTGAGGAAATTTGTTTAGAAAAATTTCTAGATTAGAACAAGTACAGCTGACCCTAGAACAACACGGGTGTTAGAGGCACTAACTGTCCTCATGCCATCGAAAGTCTGTGTATAATTGAAGTCTGCCCTCTACACTGGCATACTTCAACTGCTAGTTGACACTTGAACAACTCAGGTTTAAAGTGCGTAGGTCAATCGGAAAGAAAATCCATGTATAAGTGAACCTCTGTGGTTCTAATCTGTGTTGTTTAAGGGTCAGCAATATACATTTATTTGGTGATAAGACTTTTAAAGAAAATTTTAAAAAATTGTTTGTTTCAAAGTTGCACAAATCAGTAGTCACAATTTAAAGGCATTTCTCTTGTGTCTATTATGCAACTATTTATAATTTTTTTAAAGCCTCACCCAAGGACATGCTTAGAGAGAGGAAGGGAGAGAGAAACACTGATGGAGAAACATTGATTGGTTGTCTTCCATACATGCCCCCAACCAGGCATCAAACCCGTAACTCACATATGCACCCTGACCGGAAATTGAACTCACGACCTTTCAGTGTACAGGGCAATGCATAACTAACTGAGCCACTCTGGCC